GAGCTCAGCTGCCAACTAGATATTGAGCCATCGATTACTATCCTTTGAGCCCAATGATCCATCCAGATTTCTATCCACCTTACAGTCCATTCATTCAACTTATACTTCCTTAGTTTGCTTGTGAGAAAGTTGTGGGAGACTGAATCACAAGCCTTGCTAAAGTCAAGGTATATCATGTCTGCTGTGGTCTCTGCATCTACAGAGCCAGCCATCTCATCACAGAAGCAAATCAGACAATCAGGTACATCAGGGAAGGCTTCCCCTTGGTGAATCCATGCTATCTGTTCCTTATCACCACTTACACCAAGTGCTTACAAATGGATTCCTTGATGACCTGCTCCATGATTTTTCCAGGGACTAAGACGAGGCTAACCAATCTGTAGTTCCCTGGATCCTTCTTCCCTTTCTTAAAGATGGACACTATATTTGTTCCTTTTCCAGTCATCTGGGACCTCTCCCAATCACCATGAGTTTTCAAAGATAATGGCCAGCAGCTCTGCAATTTCATCACTCCCTTAGCACCCTCACGTGCATCCGGCCCCATGGACTTATAGGCATTCAGCTTTTCTAACAGTCCCTAATCTGTTCTTTTGCCACTGTTGCATGCTCACCTCCTCCCCAAACTGTGCTGCCATGTTCAGTAGTCTGGGAGTTGACCTTGCCTGTGAAGACTGAGGTGAAAAAAACATTGAGTACTTCAGTATTTTCCTCATCATCTGTCACTAGGTTGCCTCTTCCATTCAGTAAGGGCCCCACATTTTCCCTGACCTTCCTCTTGTTGCTGACATACTTGTCGAAACCCTTCATGTCCCTGGCTAGCTGCAACTCTAGTTGTGCTTTGGCCTTCCTAATTTCATCCCTGTGTGGCCAGGAAATACTCTTATACTCCTCCCTAGTTTTGTCCAAGTTTCCACTTGTTGTAAGCTTCCTTTTTGTGTTTTAGCTCACTGAAGAGTGACCTGCTGAGCCAAGCTGGTCTTTTGTCATACTTGTTAGTCTTCCTGCGCATAGGGATGACTCATTCCTACACCCCAGTAAGATTTCTTTAAAATACAACCAGCTCTCCTGGACTCACAAATTGGTTGCGAGTGATTATAAAAGTTGGAAATCCTGATTGACATTTTTCATCTGTAGAGGACATCTACTAGAAGAGGAGCATTTAATATATACATAGCTATTTTGTACATGAAACCTGGTTTAGGCAGAGTCAGCATGTTAACTGTGGAGTATATGGTTAATCAGGCAGAAAACAGGAGTCTAATAAAAAAGTATATACAACACAGAAAAGAAGGAAGAGTGAGACATCTCTGAAGGTGAAACACAAGAGAACAAGGCAGATGAACAAAAACAAAAACATTCTATTCAAGTGTAGAAAATAAATTTCCTGTTAATGTAAGTGTACATGTGTGCATATATTGACGTGGGTAAAGACAGAGAGCTCTATTTGCTCTAGGCTGAAGGTAATTCAGGAAACCAGCTAATCAAAAATATCGAGGAGTTAAGCTGGTGGTACTATTTTTAATTTTAAATTAGAGGAGGAGTGTGAAAGAGCTGTCCAAACCAGAAACCATATTTTCTGACTTTGCCTTCCCTTAAATTGTGTAAATTTTAAACAGAAAGATATTAGTGGGAATGGTTTTGAGTGGTTTTGTACCGAAAGTGCCTTGGTATTTGTGGCACTGTGGAGTTCTGTGCTCATTGGGTCATCATGTTATATGATACTGCATATTATTTATTGTAATTAAATTTGGCATCCCGCAGCCAGATGTATGAACATAGGCAACTCCAGCCACTTGGAAGAGATAGGTTTGTTATTCTTTAAAATGACACATTTTCTGTTCTTGTGGGGAGAGCTTATACATCTGGGTGTTCTGTGAAATATAGCTTTAAACTGAAAAATTAAATCATGGGAAATAGTCTGATCTCAGTTACAGAAGTGTAAAGATAGATTACATTCACGGAAGCAATAATTTATACTGATTTAAGCAGGTATTAAATGAATCCCATCAGATAAAATTTTGCAAATTACTTCCTTATAAAGAGGCTACAGTTTCTAATAATCTCTTTTTCCTGGCACGAGTGCTGAAGAAAATGATGATTTTTACTCACCTCACCTGAGTTGCATTGATTCACACTAACTGAAAATATGATCTAATAGGATGCATCAGTGATAGCATGGGCATAAAAATTGTGCATGGTTGTTGTACAAGACATTTGTTGAGAGGTTCTGTTTAGACATTAGAAAAAACACAAATCAGATAGCCCCTTTCTAACCATGCTTAAATATTTACTCTGCATTTGGTTTTCATTATTCTTATGTAGGATGGTTACAGCCTTCTGCTCTAGAGAAGCTCCAACATGAAAAAGTTATTATTTTCAATATGCATTTTTAAATATATATATACACAGTATATAAAGAAAGTTTCTAAGAGACTGAAACATTCTCATTTCTAACAATAAATTAAAGGAAAAAAAGCAGATAACATCATAGAACATATAGGCAGCATCTTATTAAAATGAAAGGCAATGAACTACACATGCTTTTAGGGGGATTCACGATGCACAAAAATCTATATATTATGAAGTTAAGAGCAAACAGAGAAGGGAGGCCAAAGTGTTTTATCTGGAGGGAACACACACACACATACACGCACACCATCTGGAACAAGTTGCTGCTAAGATAAAGTAGGAATATACTGTACTGGGAACTAGATATTTTTATAAAGGCAGAGGGGGCTGATGGGGATTGAACAATAAAGAGGCAACTAGGTTTGAAAGTTGTTTAAATAAAGCAACTTTGAAGGGTCAAGAGGCACTTTCCTGGACAGGTGCCCTTTGCCTTTGTCAAATGTGGCAAAGTAGAGTAGATTCAAGTTCCTGTTTAAGGATTTGTACCATTGTATAGCCTTAAATAGATACATATGAAACATACAGATCTTTGGGAAGCAGTTCCTCCCTGTAACTAATCACTGCTTCTTGCTTCTTCCAGGATGAAGTCTGGTTTTTACTAAATTTTGCATGGGAGCCAAATTTCAGTTTCTGGGTAATGCTGAAGGCTTCTATCAGTCAATTCTACATGGTACATCATGATGTCAAATGGTGATATGTCTCCGTAATTTATTTTAGCATGAAATGTTTTCCTGTATTATCAGTCCCATCTTGGCTTCTAGCTTCATTGCTTTTGCACTGCTCCAGTGTTTCAAGATAGATCCCAAGATTATAAAAAGTTCAGTTCTATGTGATTTGCTCTCATCCCAATCAGAGAGCAAATAGGGAGCAGGCATTCTTTCCTATGACCCAAAGCCCAGGGTTTGAAAGCTTGAAAACTTTGAGCTATCCCTCTCATGAGGGCTTGAACTCTTCCTGTCTCTCATATTGCCCTCTTACCTGAGATGAGTTCCCCTGTATTCTACACTGTGAGAAGAATCTGTCAGAATTATTTTGTAATAACATTTGGCCTAGGAAGTAGAGAATAAGCAATTTTTTAAGGAAACATTCTCTACATAAATTTACTTGCAAACTCAAGGTGACAGGAAGGCAACATTAGACACGAAGTTACAAAGATTTTATTATGGATACCCAAATACAAGAGTCAGGTAAGGCCTATCCATATTCTACTGGAGGAGTCTTGTCTTTGTTATGGGCCTGATCCAAGTCCAGTGAATTAAAATAAGTACCCAAGACTAATAGTTGAATTTCATACAGCCCTTCTTATCCTTCCGGGCAGCTGGATGTCTCTTTTTGCGTTAGATCCTGTTAAAATAAGATAGAGGTTTAAACATTTTGTATAACATAGCATTTTTATGTCATCTCAATTAGAAAGTATTTTCTAAAAACACTCACAAGGTTTTAAACTCTAGGTGGCGATCTTAACTCCAAAATACACCAAAAAACCTCTCCAAGATACACGCCAAAATAAAATTAAAATTTTAAATGACTAACATCAATCACATGATAATTGTGCTATATTATAAGTGCCACATAGTCGGTATTTTGGGTTTAAACTTCATTGCTGAACAACAAGAAAGATTTCTACACCTCCCTGTCTTTCTGCCATCCGACACCACCAGGGAAGGAATCCTGCCTCATCTGCACATCTGAGAACAACTCACAAAGACCCTTGCATGGACCCAAAGGAACAGACTTCCAACTTCAGCTTCCTCTGTGCAAAAATGAAATTTATTTTCTGCCTGTGGGGACTTTTTACCATCTTTAATTTTCCTGCAGCCAGATGATGAACCCAAAAGTTTGCAGAAAAATATAATAATTCTTTTGCAATTTCTTAGTTGTTCTAATAAAAGGTATCATCTCTGAACCAAGGGTTCTAGATTTTTGCATTACATAGTGGGTATAGAAGCTGAAATATCTTGGGATCAATATAGCTTACTCCAGACATTTAACTAATTAAAATGTGAATGCTTTCTGAACAGTCCTGTAGCAGTTGCTATACAGCTACGAGGAATCCTATAGTTTTTATAGGAATCAGGGAATTGGCATTCAGTAATATTAAAAGCTGAGAAATTAGAAAAAAAACCTGATTAATGGAAACACTTTTCACATAACATTTACTTGGTCCATGAAATACAAGGCCACAGAAAGCTCCAGGCCTAGTCACTAAAGCCAAGAACAGAGCAGTATTCAAAGAGGGACCAAACCTCTACTTAAATTGGTTCATCATAATTACTGATAAAAATATTGGGAGGTATATTAAATTTCCTTTTGTAGGGCTTATGCTAGCCGATACTAAACCACTAAAGAACAGGATGAAGCCTCATCTGGCTGCACAATAGCAACAGCTGCCCCTTTCTTTCTCTGAAGATTCAATTCTGGTTATTGCCATAGATGGTAATTTTCCCTACCAGAAGAACAAACCTAGGAGAATTCTCCCAGATTATTTGAATATTTGATGTATGTGTGTTTGCACTTGTGAAAATGTAATTTTAACCAACACTGTCATTGTTTTCTCTGTTCTCCACCCTCCCCCGCTCTCCCCTTTACAGGGTATTTGGTGCTGCTATATTGCTGACCTCCACCCTCAATATGCTAATACCATCTGCAGCAAAGGTGCATTTTGGGTGTGTCATCTTTGTTAGGATCTTGCAGGGCCTTGTAGAGGTATGGAAAAAAATATGGAACAACAAGGACATATGACTAGAAATGCTCATGAAATGCAGAATTTAGAGTGGGTAAACAAAAGTGATTCCATCAAAGGAGCTGTATCTTAAAAATAATGATGAACTGATTCTCCAAATACCAGGTTGTGGTTTTCAAGTGTGGGTCTTCCACTTATATGATGGAAAAAGTAATTTTGCACAGACAAATTCCATACTACTCAGAGGTCAACAGAAAGCTGGGAGATGAACCTCTCAATCCCACTTAAACCGTACAGTGTGAGAACGTTCTGGACATTCCCACACAGAATTTCTCATTCAGTACCACAGAATGGGCACTTCCTTTAAAACCTAGTTTGGTTTTATTATAGAACCTGACCGTGTTCCCATTGATGTCAATAGGAGTTTCATATCTGACTAAAATGGGAACCTGTTTAAGACTGTATTGTAATTTTTTCTTTTGCTTCATTGATATTTTCAGGCTTCATCTCCAAAATTACCATGCCTAAGAAAATCAATGCCCAAAAGAAAGATGTACAAGTTTTGCATTCATAACTCGTTGGAATAAAACTCTCAAATATTGGTGCAGACATTACATGCAAATCAGGCAGTGTAATGGTTGTCTTTACACAAAGGTGAAGGGAAGAGAGTAAGAGGGATACAAAGTTAAAAAAAATAAATCCAAATGTCTTTGGACTTGTCACTTTAAGATCTCTCTTTTCCATCTTGGAGGAAATTATGGATAAGAAGCATCTGAATAGGAGCATGCAGGATAGTTGCAATTGATTATATGTCTCAGAATAAGAATTTTGCAAAATTTATGCCAAATTCAAGTTCTGAACACCAGGGGAAATACACACATTCAATTTACAAAGTTTTGAATTTTAAAATTTTGTTCACAATATCAAATGTCATATTAAAAGAAGAATAAAATTCAGCTGTTCCCATAGAAAATGCAAAATTCAAATTATTTTTTTCAGTGTGTAATTGGGCAGTGACTGATCATTTTGTAAAAAAGTTAGTGAATTTTATATTTTCTGTCTTAATGGGGTAACAAGATAACTCATAACATCTGAATAATTTGGGTTGAAATTTTGTTATGCCTTTTACAACTTTTATATAAAAAGATGGATATAGCTTTTGGAATATTGTTATATTTTAAAATGGAATCAACATTATTCAGTTATCCTTTGCCTTGGGTGCTTAAAGAACTCATTACAGCAAAAAAGCAGTAAGAAAATTCCTTTTGTAATAGGCGTTAGTTTTACACTGTTTTTATTTTCTAATTTTAGAACAAGGAAAATTCCTTGCTTTTTAAAGGTTTATATTATGGCATTAAATGAAGTTTAAAAAGTAGCTGAAGTTCCAGATGACTCAAGTATGGTTTGAGTATGTCTCAAGGTAGGGCCCTGATTTTAATCCCGACTCTGGTCTTACCTTTAGAGGTCTTACCTTTCTACCAAGAGAATCACTGCTCTCCTGATAGAAACCACAAGTGAACAGGCATTCATCAACTTCATCAAGGAGAAAGATCTTCTTTCTTCAATAAGGAAGATGTCTCTTGTGGGAGAGTTTCTCCTGCAGGAAAGAATGCCTGTGTGCTTTCTTGGCCGCTGACATGTCACTTGACCTCTATGCCTCATTTTCCTCCCATCTTTAAGGAATGGTTATGCTTATCACCTATTTCATGTGAGGTTTAAATAGTTATTAATGCACATATGATGTACTGAATAGGTGGAACTTGGATCAGTCTTCAAGCTTTGTCCAAATCTTCCAGCTTTTCTATGGAACATTGGATTGGGGCCAAACTCGTTACAAGAAATGCTCAGTATTATCATCACCATCATTGTTTTTATGATAGTTCTAAACCGAAATAAATATATAAATCTATGCACTGACTAGTAGCATGTATTAACTGGTGAATGCCCACTCTACAGGGTGTCACTTACCCTGCCTGCCATGGGATATGGAGCAAATGGGCCCCTCCTTTAGAGAGAAGTAGGCTAGCAACCACTTCCTTTTGTGGTAAGCACTTTTTCCCCTATTTTCTTCCTTTTTTTGCATGCAATAACTAAATATTTCAGTATTGAATGTATTTCTGTTTTCATTCATATCTTTGTTGTTTTGTAGGTTCCTATGCAGGAGCTGTCATTGCAATGCCTTTAGCTGGGATTCTTGTGCAATATACTGGGTGGCCTTCTGTGTTTTATGTGTATGGTATGATATTCTTGTTCACCTCCCTCCAATATTATCTGAATTTATTTTACACCTTTAAGAAAGCAGTCTTGTTAATGCATACTGGAAATAAAGGAGGCATAGAGTAACAAAGCTAAGGATATAAAACTATAGAAACAGTGGTTAAAAAGGAAGGGAATGGAAGGGTAAAGCAAGAAGCAACAGTCTTCAACATGAAGAATGTAGGTTATTTGACAGGGAAACTTTAATTACTCTTAGGACCACTGCAGTGTCATGAACTGCTTGGAGAGTTTGTTGAATCACAGTTCATGTTGTAGCATTCCTTTTGTTTGTATCAATGTAAATTCAAAAGACCTACAAAGAAAAAAAAGTGGACTAGATAGGCTAGTACAAAATGTCATTGCCCCATTGTGTTTAATGACTTACACCGTAGAAAATCTGGTTATAACAAGTTCTGGTTAATTATGCTGGCATGAAACTAGTGTGAATTAGAGGGAAATTCCATATCAGACAAAACCTGAACCAGTTATAACATTTGAGAACTGCCATGCAGCAAACACCAGGTATCTTTAAGTTTCCCTAATGGAAGTCAGAAGAAAGGACAAATAAAATGGGAAAGCAGGAAAAATAGAATGTGCATAAACATAGTATATATAAGCAAAAATATTGCTCTCCCATGTCTAGTCCCCTGGGTTTGTCTGGATCTCTACTCAGAAAAGACTTTAGCTGGGATGAATGATTCTGTTTACGGTATAGTAGAGTTAACCCTAATAAATACAGATGTAATACAGAATACTCACACTGCACTAATTAACACTGTTTATTTCTCATGGAATCACACCAAAAATTTCACCTATGAGCAGTTACTTAGACAAGAACATTTATTAAACCTTTCATCCTAAAAATAAACTGCCCTAGAATTTTTTGTGCTCCTGTGTTGAAAATAGCGCTGTAATCTTAATATCATCCAGGTGAAGGTTTTTGTTTCCTTTTGTCTTGTGCCATAAGCATGGGCTAGAGTGAATTTTCATATATAATTAGCAGAGAATGAAACACTGAATCTGTCAGACTCCTAGGGGTTCTTCCCTTCTGACAATGAAGGCATTCTGTAAATGAAACGGTAACTTTACCATGGATGCAATCCTGGAAATCTCTTGAACATACAATAGTTTGCAGACCTGGGCTTGTTTTGTGAGTGCAGCTAATGAGAAAGCAACCCCAAATGCCATTTTAAATGTGTTCTGTGTTTGGTACTTGTTTTCTGCTTTCTTTCCAAGCCTTTCTTTCCTTTACCTTTTCAAAAAAAAAGGGAGCTTTGGGATGGTCTGGTACATGTTCTGGCTTTTGGTGTCATATGAGAGTCCTGCAAAGCACCCCACAATCACTGAAGAAGAACGGAGATACATAGAAGAAAGCATCGGGGAGAGTGCCAACCTCTTAGGTGCAATGGAAGTAAGAATGTTACTGCATTTCTACCCTTACATGTATTGGCATCACGGGTTTTGGGTGAAGAGGTGAGATGATAAATAGTGAATATGGTCAACTTCACTAAAGATAGACATGCACTTGGGCTGCACAATTCAGATTTCTGAAATAACACGCTGCTTCTGATGAAATATATGTATGGCTCATGCTGTTGCAAAGTATAAGAGGGCATGACCCTACCACCCTCTGGTGGGATTACTCTTCGCATAAAAATGACAATGTTGGTTGCAGTGGAAGCTGGCAGATCACATTAATCTTAACCTTTCCTTTTCTGGTTTCGCATTCTTTGGTCACTTTTGCACCAGACCCATGTATCTCCTCAAAATGCAGTGCCTCTTATAAGCAAATATATAAAGATTAATTATTCCAGGCCCAACTAGACTAATTTAGATATGATTTAATTTGGCTTTTGATTATAGTGCAACAGGTAGATTATGATAGAAAAGCATCAAGCATCAATTGACTTAGATCTTCTATATTTTTTTAATGAGGATATTTGAATACGGCTTATTCTGCAAGTGAAATGGATATTCCTACAGGCACCACACCCCAAGGGTAACATCCATAGATCAGCTCTCAAGTAGTGTTCCTTCTGTGCAGTTTTCCTGATATTGCAGGGAAGGCAGAAACATGTTATAGAGTGGGCATTTCTCCTATCATACTTCATAATCTACTCCAGATGTGCCACATATAACTCCTCAAGCTCTTTATAATATTTCTTGGTTTACTGCATGTATTCTATGTCCTGCCTATTCTACCCTTCCATCATTTGGTGAGGGAGAATAGATAGAATAATATTAATTATGATATATCATGAGATGCTGAGTTGAGCCAGATAAGCTCAAATCAGAATTTGCTCTAAATTCCATTAATACAATGGCCAGAGTACTATAGTAAGATGTACTCTTATATTTCAAAACTAACAATTCTAGTACAATGCTTAATTTCCCAGGAAGTATATATTTTAAACCCCACATAATCTGAAATTGCCCTATACAAGTGGACCTCTCAGAATACTCCATGCAGTCTGTACAAAACTGGAGGCCCTTCCAAATATTCAGTAATCCAGTCATGCTATATGAGCATATTTTTCACCTTCTCAATGACCAAGTTCTAAAGAAAATAACTTAACCTCAGCTAAGTAAAGAAAAGTTGAACCGCTTTGACTTTTATCTCTCTCTCAACTTTACAACATATTCTCCACTCACAGCCTTCATCCCTCACTCCCAAAGATCGCTCTTTATAGTGTTTCTTAATTGGGTCAGACAATTAGTTCTTAATTCAGCACAGGCAAGCAATAGTCATTTCCCCCATAATTAAAAGCTTTGATCCACTGTGGAAAACTTTACACCTGCTCAGATGTGGAATAAGGAGAGTTTAAAAGAGTTTACTGCTGACTGCCATTTTTTCTGGACAGCTTGTTTACACTCTAATGTTGGTTTGACATGCATTGGGACTTGTGCTCCTTAATGACATAAATGCTTTTTGAAAACCTCACCCTTGATAAGAGGAAAAAAATTGCTCCAGATTGAAGTTTTAAACAGATTCTAAACCCTGGGCAAAAATTACCTAAAAGAAGTCAATATGTTTTATTTGGATTTGAGTTGGAGTTTTCCTGTTTAATTTCTTGGTACTTTCACAATTTGAAGCCAGATACAAACTTATTTTTGGAAGTGATTAGTGTATATTATTGGTTTAATTGGTTTTGAAATGAGCAATATGACATACTTCCCATGGCATTCAGGAAGTCCTTCTCACCAATTAAGTCTCACTTAACCCTTAACTCTCGCTAATGAATAGGTGCATAAGGCACTACACATACTGCAGCACTTCCATTTTTGGAGATATGCCAGTATTTGAGGTGCTGTGGATCTAATCCTACTTTCAGCTGTATCCAGGAAAACTTGAATCCAGGGCCAGATCCTTCAATAGAGCTTCACAAATGGGGAGAAACATGTGGAGCCACAATGAAGTCCCTGGGACTCTACAGGGATGCAGTGTTACCAATCTGTTTTCTTTTTGTAAGACTAAATTCACTTAAAAATGCAACAATACCTTGGCTAAAATTTGTTTTAAAAAAGAAGAAAATTGTGTTCAGCTAAGAGTTTCTATAAAGGAACCTCCGGAATGGACTCGATGATCTTCCGAGGTCCCTTCCAGCCCTAATGTCTATGAAATCTATGAAATACCAGAATGAAAATTCAGAAGCAACTTAGTAGTAGCTGTTTATTATACTTTCACTTTAGCAATACGATACAACTAATAGTAAACATTATTTATATTTGTATATATACACACGATAATATAATTTATAATTGTTTGCTAAAAGCATATACTAAAATTGCACCTTCTGCCACTTAAAATGAAATTAAAACAGAACATGGTATGTGATGATACAAATTTGGATAAAATTAATCTGTGGACAATGCAGTAAACCAGGAGAATTCTCTTTGATTTTGACCCTTATTCTTTGTGCAACTAATACAAATACACCCAGAGGGTATCAGACAGGCTGTGAATTGTTAGAGAAAAGCCAAACTGTTTTTTCTTCATTGGTGCAGTATTTAAAATTTTCCATTAATGGAGAAATTCATTTTCCTCTTACTTCTTCAAAAACAATCAAGACCACAAATAGTGCTTTAATGAATCTATCTCATTCTTCCAACAAGAACATATTCTGCTTGAAAATGGGGTTCAAAACAACCTGCCCATGACAACTGCATATCTCATTAGTGTGTGTCACATTCTAGTAATGGTTTGTAGTTTTGTATTGAAGATAGGTAGGTTTCTGGGCCTAAAGAGTGCTTCATGACTCTTAAAAAAGGAAAAGTTAGAGAAAGTCTCATTGCCTGAATGTTTGTCCCTTTGCTGGAATCTTTAATGATTAAATGTATGTATTGTTTTAGATATAGGGGAAATATTGGCTCAGTGTTATTCAGTACAATTCCCAGGCCATTTGTCTAGAGAAGAATATAGATGTTATTTACCCACCCAGACAAGGGTTTATTGGGAAGAGGAGAGGCTTCTAAAATGAACATCTAAATGCATCTGATAGGCATAAAAGATTTAATTTTCATCCAGTAATGTAGAAATCTTAATTGAGCCAAGTCATTCACATTAATCGGTCCTGTTACAGACAGCATGAGCCCCTGTCATAGAATTGGGTAAAAAATAGCCATAAAAAATAGATATCTTTTCCATTTTTTAATGAATCATGGGTTTAAATATAGTCTCAAGGCTTATGATGGAAATGATAGGCTTGCTGTCTGATATTACTTTATTATAAATGTTTTCAATTATACTTGCTCAGGCTGTATGTGACTGTGTCAACAGTGCTTGGACACAAAAAATGGAAATGAATTATAATATTGAGAATATGAGCTTTTTATTGACTTTGCAGACATTTGTCTATTCACTTACATTTCCAAACTAATTCTTGATCCTCCAAACACTGATGCATATGCTTTTCCCTTCTGAAGATTAAATTTACAGGGACTACTCAAGTATGTCAAGTTTATTTTAAACCACACATTTATTTTTTTTGGACAAGATGTGATAGCACCCATTATCTGCCACCCTTCCTGGAGGAATTTGTTAAGCAATATTTCTTTCTGTCTTGCAGAAATTCAAGACTCCATGGAGAAAATTTTTTACATCTATGCCCGTCTATGCAATTATTGTTGCAAACTTTTGCAGAAGCTGGACTTTTTATTTGCTGCTTATTAGCCAGCCTGCTTACTTTGAAGAGGTGTTTGGGTTTGAAATAAGCAAGGTATATGCAATTCCATATTGCTGAGCATCAGTAATCAATGAGTCACGTGTAGCTCTTTCCTTGAAAAAGCACTTTTCCAGTATATTTAGAATTCTCTAAACTTATTTCCCTTTATGAACCAGTATGAAAGTAAAGAAAACTGGAAAAGGTATGTACCCTTCTGATTAGTCTAAAATGTTCAGGTAGCATACTTTAGCATACTATTAAAATCTGGGGGGTTGGGTAGGGCTGCACACTTCAAATAAGTATTCATGCAGGTATGTAGGGTTGGTGTGTGCAACATAATATCGTGTAGGCTGCAGAAGAGCCAGTTCCATTTGCAGTTTTTCATGTACCCTCATGTGTTCGTATTGCTGCCAAGGTTATAGGGAAATTGGGGAATGGATTAGAACCACTTCACCAAGCTCCTTGCATTAGACTGCAAGTGGGCTGGGATTATAGAAGGCAGAAAGCTGCATCATCTTTAAAAAAGGTGCAATTAGCATATTATAAGATAGATCTCCTGGGCATGAATTACACCTTCCACTCTCTCAGGGGGAGAAGGGGCTATGAACTACTTCTTGTTGGGTCAGTGACACATTTTGATATATTGGACTGATCCAAAGATGAGTGAAATTCAAAATCTTCCTGCGGACATTAATGGGCTTTGGATCATGCCCTTACTGTGACTATGATCATGGAAAAATAGGGCAGGAAGGGAATGCATGACATTTATTTAGTCCAGTATCTTGCTCAAGGCAGTATCATTCTTGACTACATGTCTGTTTGGCCAAATTTCCAGGGATGGAGATTGCTTCCACAACTCCTCTATGTAGCCTGCTCCAAAGCCTAATCACTCACATGATCAGAGAGTTCTTCCTAATTTCCTACCTAAATTTCTTCTGCTGCAGTTTGAGGCCATTGCTCCTACTCCTTTCTCCTATAGCCACAGAGCAAAGCCCATCTTCATCCTCTCTAAAAATGTCCTTCTGGTATCTGAAGACTGTTACTAAGTTTCTTTTCAGTCTTCTCTTCTCCAGACTAAATAACCCTAGTTCTTTCAGCCTTTCTTCATATGTCATGCTTCTCAGACTCCAGTTATTTTTATTGCTCTCCCCTGGACTCTTTCCAGTCTGTCCACATCTTACTTGATACATACAGCATCTATACAATCCATACAGCAGTGCAGCCAGTCATTTCCCAATCCCTTCCCAATCCCTTCTGTCCTTGAGTGCAGGTATTTGTCCTTGCTGAATCTCATTTGATCAATTGCAGGCCATTTCTCCAGTCTATCTAGGTCATTCTGGATCCTAGCCCTGCTCTCCAGAGTGTCTGAAACTCTACCCAATTTGGTGTCATCCTCAGATTTGGAAGATGGAGTTGTACTTTCTCAATTGTGTGTCTTAGGCAGTGTGTAGACAAAACAAGAGGCGTGTGTGCATGACACTTTAAAGCGGGCTAATTGCTTTTTGCACTGCTTTAGTGGTGTTGGTGTTTGCATGCCTTGGCGGTATATTGCACATTAATTCCAGCTGCTGTAGGAAATTTGGTGGCGTAATGCGTCTTATATGACTTGGAGCACTGCAAACTCAAACTCCTTTGAGGAGTTTTAGTTTGAGGCCCCTACAGCTGCAAAGCAAAGCACCTGGCTCCATGGAGCTCTGTAGGATGTCCTGTAGGCAGCCTGGCAGCAGCCCGGGAAAGCAGGCTTCACCCAAGAAAAGCAGCGAGCCTGATCTTTCCCCACTCCCTCCCCCAGAGCCTCCTGCCTGCCTGAGCTGCATGGGGACTTGGTGCTTCCCCTGCAGCTGTGGGGCCTCCCAGGGCTGCCCGAGCTGGGTGCCTGTGGGTGGGTGCTACCTGTGGGGGGCACCGCTGCCACTGAGGGAAGCACCAGCCCTCTGCCCCGCCACAGCCCAGGGACCGTTCCACCCACTGGCAGCTTGCCTTCACCTCGCCACTGGAAAGGCAGGTAAGTCAGCGGGGTGTGTGCATGACACAGGGGTTTAATCGGCCCTAAATTGAAGTGATGTTTTTTTAAAACCCACTGCTTCAATTTAGGGCCCCTGTTTCATCTACACGTACCCTTAGGTCCTATCTTTCTAACAGTGAAGAAGGATTTTCCATTAGTACAAGTGATGGAGGTCTGAGCTACTGGAGCAGGGAGTTTGAACAAGCATAGTGACAAGCAGGTAGCCACAGAATATTTTATTCTGTTTTATATTAAACAGAATATAAAAAATAGTTCTGTCATCTGAAACTCAGATAGGCCTAAGCTGCAATATCCATGGCTGGATTCTTTAGCCTGAACCTTCTCCAAGTGCAAATTGTGTTCTGAGTGTAGACGGTTATAAAGAGAAACTGAACAGCTGTGAAATGTTGGTTCAGAGCCAGGATTCCATACATCTATCTCCCTACCTCTGGAGACTTAGTATTTTTAGAACCAAAATTTGGTCTGAACCCATCGTTCATATTAGAACATCAAATAAAAATATAAACAGCTCTAAGTTTAATAGAAGAGGACGTATTTGGAGTTTTTTTGCAAATCCAGTGGAGCCTGGAGACACAAAAATGCCATTGATTTGAATATAAAGATGTCACTATTGTATAGTTTCCATATGGCTTCTAAACATGCAGTGTTCTGTGCATAATCCTACATTCCTTCCACAATGAAAGGCCTACTGGCCTCAGTATGACTCCAACTGTGCAAGCAATGCAGGTCCAGACCCCCCGTGCTTCTTAATGGTTTTTTAATTTTGGAAAGCCATGACTTCCTTTACCTACTGGCCCGCATCTTGGAACTTCAAGTTGAGTTCAATGAATGGACCTTAAATGTTCCGGTCCATTATTAAAAAAAAATAAAAAGGCAAGTTACAATCAGGAACATCGCAAATTTTCAGTTATTTATAAAGTAAATCAAGATGTTTACTTTTTGTACCTACCTTGACATTGCAGAAAATCAGTTAATTAGTTTCTGATTACCTGCTTCTTTAGGAAATTTTGAATCAATATTTTATTATGGTGTTAACGTTTCCCATTTTTCATCATTATTTCAGGTGGGTATTTTATCTGCTGTGCCGCATTTAGTGATGACAATTATTGTGCCTATTGGGGGACAAATTGCGGACTTTTTAAGAAGCAGACAAATTCTTTCAACTACTACTGTGAGAAAGATAATGAACTGTGGAGGTAAGTCTTTTTACTTTTTTAAAAGGTATTCAGAACACCTTGACTATGATATTGTGTACAGCATATAAACAAACTGCATGTCTATAAATATGAAGAATTACTTATTACCTCTAGCTTGCATGATAAACATTCAGCTATTAAAAACAGGTCATTACTATTGAAGGAGGCCTTCAAGCAGAGAATGGGACTTTCTGAACATGCTTTCTTCTAACACTCACTGAGAACATTTTTCACAGGGTAGGACATGGATTTTAAAAGGGCTAGTGAAACAGATGGGTGGCCAACCAGATTTTCAAAATGCCTAAATAGCTTAGATGCCTTAAGTCTGATGGGGCGTTTATAGACATCCTTTGGAAGGCGGGGAAAGGGGTGCGATGTAATTAATGCAGCTCCAAGGACATTAATAGATGTGCTCTGGGAGGCAGGGGGAACCACCATTTTTCAGTGAGGGGATGCTGATACATGTGATACTGGAGTCCACTGGAGCATGGTAATTACCATGCTTCAGCAGATTTGATTAATCGAGTCTGCTCCAATGAGCTGTAATTACAGTACATTGAAGCAGCCTCCCTGCATGTGTATAGGAGCCCATTGAATCAATGAGACTTAGGCACAAGACTTTGGTTCAGCTCCTGAAAGGGACAGAAAGTCACAATAAATTGTTATGTAAATGCCAACTAAAAAGCTAATTTACACTGAGTGTTTTCTTTTTTTGGAGTAAGCATTGCTGAATTATATTCCTAAGAGTTAATGCTTTGCCACTGCCTCTTCTAAATTAGTTCCAACTATGATGCCTTGCAAATTTAACTTGGTAGTTAAATCTGATGCATAATTTCCTTTTATTATCCCACAAGGTTTTGGCATGGAGGCAACTCTTCTTCTGGTAGTGGGATATTCTCACAGTAAAGGAGTGGCTATTTCATTCTTAGTGCTTGCTGTGGGCTTCAGTGGATTTGCCATATCTGGTAAGATAATACTTCTGTTTTTAGTGCTTAGTTATTTCATATTCTAAGAAAAAAGAATAAAGAAAGAAAAGAAAGAAAATCAGAGTTTCAGATTCAGTTTTCATATGAGAGATATAATAATTAACTACAAAATTCAGGATTTCATTTAGTATTACTTATTATCATTTGCAGAGAAGATAAAAGTGAATGCCACTCCTTGTATATTTTATTATTTTTACTAAAATATTTCATCTTTTCCCCATATTTACCACAACTAGGCAGAGGTATTATTTTTCTGAAATACAAATATTAAAACATTTCTTCTAGATATAACTTCTTAGGTTTACAATTTGTTTCTTCTGCATATTAAAAATAACATTGTAATCCGTCTGCTGGGTACCAGTCAGCAGCAAAAAGGGCTGGATTCACATATTGGGTTAACTCACAAATGATACCAGTTGCCTCAGTCCCCCCTTCCCCCCGAAATTTCAGAACACTAAATTTGCTGGGACATCCCATATAAACAAAACCCCATCCTCACAAACAGTGTATTTATTTATTACAGTAAATAAAAAAAACAAAACAAAGAAAACACTAAATATAATTTTAAAACACATACAAAGTGAAGTCTACAGGTGGCACCCTCTTAGGGAGGCTTCACCCATGCCCAGACAGTCTGGGACTTGGGGGTCCCCAAAGGGTAGTTCTGGGGGCCTTCACCCCTATATGTGCCCTTCAACAATGGGCTGGAGAGGGGCGCCCAAACCAGAGAGTCCTATGAGCTGCTTCTTGGGTTCATTGCACTATAGGGAGTTGCTCAAGAGCATGGGTCCTTCTGCATTGCAAGGGGCTCTATTGCTCCTGGAGAAATGGTAGAGTACCAGCCTCCACTTCCACTTGGTGACTTTGAGGAGTTAACTGGTTTTCATCAGCATACTGCACCCCAAAATCCTTAGTCCCAATCCCAGCTATGCTGGGCAGAAAACTGCAAAAAAACTTGAAGGGAAGGTCAGGTCTGTCTTGGATTGAGCCTGAACTATAACCAGTGTCCAGCCATACCACTTGGTTGGGACATTAACTAAAAAAGGGATAAAAGGAGTGCCAGGTCTCACCCTGGCTCAAACCATGCCAGGCTTCACCTTGGCCCAAATCTGCCAGCCAAACATATGGCTGGGGTTCAGCCACACAGCTAGGCTGAAATGCAATAGCTGTGAAACAGTAAAAAGGGCCCAGGCCTATAGCTGCAGCCTGGACATCCAGTCTCAACTATACCACAATGCTGAGACAATATAATTACAAAACAGAGGGGGCCAGAACTCAAACTGGTATAGCAGTGGAGCATCCCAGTGGAGCAGGGAGGGGGAGTTTCAGCTGGGTTTGCAGTTGAAGTGCTCAGCTGACCACAAACCCTCCCCCCCCACCCCTCGCACATTCCCAGCTGGCTGCAAAACCTCCCCCACCCCTGCTCCCATGGGACCAGGGTCGTCCCTGGGAGGGGGAGAATCAAGGCGACCACCCCAGGCACCCTGCTCGGGTTGCCTCTGCATGGAACGTTTCGCCGCCCCTCCAGTCTGAGTTCACCAGCCATGCCTGCTAGGCCCATGTGGCCAGTAACTGCCAGGACCCCATTCCTGGTCAGTCTGTTTCAGGGATTCATAGGACCATGGTATTATTCCACTCAAGGCCCGTGTGGCCAAAACTGCCAGGACGCCATTTCTGATCAGCTTGCTCCAGGGATTAATGCCCCCATGGTATTATTCCACTCAAAAAAAAGAGGTGGGGAGGGAGGAAATAGGGGACTCAAACTCTGAGACAGACTTTATCTCCCTGTACCTGAGGCTTTCCCTTTACATAGCTTTCACTCGCCTCTCCAATAAAGGGTGAGTGGGGAGACCCCCCCATGGGGAGCAGTTTTTCTGCTTCCCAATTCAGCTGTGCAGCTCTTAGCAGCCCAAGGAGGAAGAGAGAAAACCCCTAGTTGAGTTGTTCTTATACATCTGGTGTGATATCACCCAAGCCTTGTCCAATTATAGAGTGCCACGCTCCAGCCTCTCTCTTGCCCAATCTGCCTGGAGAATCTTCTGCTTCCTTTGGCCATTGAGGCCAGAGGGTTTTATGTATTTTTGCCTAGATACAAGCCCCAGCTTTCCATGTGCAGAGCACATGGCCAGAACAATAGAGGCCATCTTGCCCACACACACACACACACACACACACACACACACACACTACAATACAATACAATAGACAACAAGCAAAAGCACACACCTTACCATACGCAACCCAAGTGTGAGTGGGTGTTACAATAAAATAGGCTTTTATCTTGCTTTACTATAGCATGTTCATTCAGGCTAGTGCCTAATTGCTTCGTGGTTCCTCCATATTAAATTATTGGTGCAATTCAAAATCTTTTAACATCTCATTGCTCAGATCTTACACTTCCCCTTTCATAAACATTATTTAGCCCATTTCACCTGGATTTTCCTTGTTTTCTTGTCAATATGATTGCAAGCTGACAACAGGTCTGCAACAGGCAGGTCTATTGTGTCAGGTATCCAACCTCTCCCTAGTATAATATCTCCTCCCAGCACACTTATTCTTCAAGATGTACCAACTTTAGTTCTCCCATTTAAACAAACTGATTTCATTTTAATACTTGCTAACAAACAATACCTAATCAAGAAGATATGTGTAATGACAACCCTAAATAAATGCACCTTCTGTAGAAAATTGTGCCCTTAAAGGAAATACCCTGCTTTTATTTTTTTAACAGTTGTTCTACTCCTACAAAATTAGGCAATTCGTTGCTGTTGACCAACAATGAGATTGATGCCTATCTCTCTTCAGTGCCTTTGAAAATTCCAGCCATAATGTGTACCTATATTTCATGGAGGAAACTCATCCCACATATTTGGGAATAATGGATTATATAATAATGGATTATGTTTAGGATAATGTTCAGGATCCCATATGTTTAGGAATAGCTACAAAAAGCTAAAACTGTGAAAATTAATTGTATCACTTTCTAAATTAATTGTATTTCTTTCTAAATGGAAACATCTTAGAAAGAAAGTATAATAGCTTTTAAATATAGTCTCCTTTCATTACTTTCATCTTATACAGTCACATGAAAAATAAGTTACCTCCTTCTGTTCTGTGCGATCAAATAGAAAACTATGGGGCAGGTCTACATGAGATGTTTACTGTGGCTCACAGTAAATTAGCTCCACAGTAAACATGTCTGTGTCTACCCTATTAGGCTGTAGCAAAATAATAAAATCTGCCACAGGTTAATACTTGTAAATACAAGTACTAACTTGTGGCAGAGTCTTTTTTAGCATGCAGCAATACATGTGTGGATGCTGATGTGTCTGGCTGGGGCACAAAGGTGCCAGCTAGCCCCACGCTGCCAGTTGGCACACATGTAAATGCGGCACCTGGGAGGAATAAACTCTAGCACAATATATGCTGGAGTATATTGCTTTGAATTAATTGCACATGTAGATGCACCCATGGAGAACTTGAAGAAGAAGTGACATGAAGTGTAACAGAAAGTGATGCAATTTATAATTTCCAACATTAGAGAGACATGAATGACACTTAGGAAATTTTCTCCAAAGCTTAATTATTTCTCTTGTTTTCTTTCCCTCTGTGTTTATTATTTTCAAACAGATTTTAAACAGAAAACAGCATTAGTATAATTCTATATTATGTTTTCCATTCAAATTTAAAACTAGAATCTATCCCCATACCTATAATCTTGTTCTGTCCTATAAACATTTCAGGGCAAGATCCCCTTTTGTATATTATCAATGGAAGCAGGCCAAACTAGGCAATTTATTACCATTGAACTATAGCAGTAGTACACATTTCAAAATTGAAGCAATAATGCATTTTATGGTACGGACATAAGCTTACATTTGTGTTGCAGGATTCAATGTCAACCATTTAGACATTGCCCCAAGGTATGCCAGCATCTTAATGGGAATTTCTAATGGAGTTGGGACCTTGTCTGGAATGGTTTGTCCTATAATAGTTGGAGCCATGACAAAAAACAAGGTAAGCTATTATAAGGATTTCTATACAGTTCTCAAGCTGAGCAATTTAATTCCAGATATTAAGAAAGAATGAAAAAAACCAACAAAAGAAACCTTTCCCTAAAGTCATTTTCCAGGTCTTTTATATTAGTTAGGCACCTGGGAGTGGGATTTAACTCCCAGATATCCTTTGAAAAATTACAACCTCAATTCCTCATTCAGACCCTGTAGCTAACCATATTGTGCTTGTGTTCTAATTTAGCAATCTTCTTTACAGACACGGGAAGAGTGGCAGTATGTCTTCCTTATTGCTGCTTTAGTCCATTATGGAGGTGTTGTATTCTATGGTATATTTGCTTCAGGAGAGAAACAACCTTGGGCAGACCCTGAACAGACAAGTGAAGAGAAGTGTGGTTTTATTCATGAAGATGAACTTGATGAAGAGACAGGGGACATTACACAGAATTATGTAAATTATGGTACCACTAAGTCTTATGGTGCTACGACCCAGGTCAATGGTGGCTGGCCTAATGGTTGGGAGAAAAAAGAAGAATTTGTACAACAGGAAGTACAAGACTCATACAGCTATAAGGAAGGAGAAGATTATTCATAACAAACCTAAATATTGGATATATTTTGTAGTGTTTGTGATTAAATTCATTGTGATTGTTTGCACACAAAAATGTGGTATAAATGTAAACACATATCAGTCAAGAAGGTCTTACTGTAAAAACAAAAACAAGTTTCCATTAAAGTGCAATCTGTATGAGTTGTGACATGCCATCACCTCCATTCAGGTGTATCCATTCTATAAACATTAGAGTTTTAAGGGTTTACTGGTTCAAACTATAGAGGCAATTAGATACTTGCAGTATACATGAGCTAAAACTCATAACGAAGGATTAAAGCACAACTAACCAACCAAGTTGGCACATCTAATCCTGTTTAGAAAGCCAAAACTACTTTATCATTAAAAAATGCACTTATATATTTGTTACACTGTATTGAAAGAGATCTTAAATAATTGTGTTAAGTATACAAGTTTACTCAGTACGATGTAGGAACTGTGTGTTTGGTCTGAGACGAGGACTTCCTTGAAAAATAAAGGGTCAGTCCTTGGCACGTATAGGGAATCAATCCAGTTTCCATCAATGGAAACTGAATCAGGCCCTAAAAGAACAAAATAGGGCATATTATATGTTTATTGTGATTATATGCTGCAGGCTACTCTGTGATGAATAAAGGAATTATTTAGGAGTTTTTTATTGAATGTTTGGGCACAGATTCTTATTTCTGTTCTTTACAGAATCTACTGAAGTTTCTGAATCTTCTGAAGAATCTTTTGTTCTGTGTCATGTTCTTCCTTACACTTACCAACCAGTATAAAATAATATCTAATTTGAAATCTAACTTTTCAAGCAGGCAGGAAAATACCTTTTGTGGGAAACAAGCATTGATATTCTTTTATTTACAAAAAATGACAACTTTATACTGGTTGCAGATCTATTTAGAAGAGAAACATTTAACCTAGGAAAAAGATAGATCCCCACGCAAATCCAAAGAGCAATTTACTATGAGCAAGTAGCCCTATATACAATGTATGTATTTGTTCTGCAAAATATTTTGAAGTAACTGAAAGAAACAGAGAATAATTTAAGCATCTTTCTTCCCTTGAGAGTTTTCATATTTTATGACACATTGTGCCACAGTTGTATAAATAGATGTTTATTAAAGATATTGTAATTATAGAAAATGTCACTATTTTACAAATCCCTTATTTAAAAAAAAATGTATTTGTCTTTCAGATAAATAGAATTATAATGGACACTGAATATGAGTAACAAAACTCACTATAAACCAAAGTGGCAAATAACTAGTGTTGGGTTTAAGGAAGCCATCAAGCATTGCGCTTGCCATTCTTTGCATAACTCAACAAGAATTGCAACATTAGTGTACCAAGCAATAAGTGCAATGCATTATAAAGTGCATAATCTTTTAAGTCTATATATTACCTTCATTTAGCTTGTTGTAGATATTTGGGGTTGTTGGGATTAAACTGAACCGAACCAAACTGAGGTTAGCAACACCAGGCCACTTCTTAATGCTCTAAAATGACAATAATGATCCATTTCCTAATTCAAATAAAATAATTTACGTTGTATGTAACAATCCATTCTGGATTTTTGATCTGTTCATTGTATTGTGCTAGTGATTGGAGACCCTGCTACCGCAATATACAACTTGAGGATTGTTTCTTCTTTTTTCTAAATGCAAATCAGACCTTGACCTTAAGGGAAAATATTTTGCTTTGTGCCTCAAAGTGATGTAAAATGTGACCATAGCTTTTGCTCTGTTTAATGAAAAGATGTGGACTGTGTCACTTTTGTTGCTGCAAAAAGTGTTAATAAAAATGCTCTATTTATCCTTTTATATAAAAAGATGGTATTGTAGTTTTTTGCCATTTGCAGACAAATATAAAAAACTAAACTGATGTTCAGTAAGGACTGAATTCTTATACTGGCGGTCTCTTACCCTTAGCTCAGTGTGAGCCCTGTTGCCTACATATGCAAAGGAGAAACAGGGTAAGGAGTCCTGCATGTGTGACCCACATTGCCAGTCTGTGCACAGATGTGTAGTGGGAGGAGCAAGTTGTTAGTTCTTGTTACATATCCTGTGGTGGAGAATGTAGGAACAGAGATTGGAGTAGGGGGAGCAATGTGTCAGCCAAGACAGTGGAACTGGCACAGACAATAATGTAGCCTGTACCAACAAAAAACTGCTGCAGTTTACTGTCCCCTGGGGCAAAAGCAAACCTGGAACCAGTTAGAATCACGTTCCTCCCATGCTTCTTCTACACAACCCCTGACTTGGGCTGGAATGTAAAGCTACAGTTCATCGTTTAAGGGGCAATCCCAGCAGAAGTCAGGGATTTATTATTTATTATTGTTTGTTATTGTTTATTATTTATAACAAATTCAACAAGTCCCAAAGTGAGGAGGGGTACTTTCTAACAGGAGTGTTAGGCTTTAGAGCTAAGAGATTAGGTGGAAAAATTATTGCTAGGAAACATTAAGAATTACCTTAACCTGCTTCTGCAGGTTAGTAGGAGGAACTTGTTAAAAAACACTGAGTACTGTTGTACCAATATTGAAAAGAAAACAGCTCTGGAAATGAAAAATCATTAACTTTCAATCTAATCTCATTGTATCTGTACCCCTAGGCATTATTTTCATCATTTACCTTTACAAAGTGAACATTACATTTTTCTTTTCTTATTTGCTTCACGTATTTTCACTACTGTGAACAAAGGAGATGCTTCAGTTCAGCTATTCAGTGGGTGCATCTACATGCTGCCCTATAGCGACGTAGCAACATGCTACATCGCCATATGGTACGCTATGGCGATGTAACGATCGTCTGGGTCTACATGCGATTGCAAGCTACGTTGCCATAGCGGTGCGCTTCCTGCTTATCCAAATATGGAGCAAAAGGCAGTGACATGGGAGTCATTTATTATTTATAACAAATATCACTTACAAAGCATATTTAATGTTCAAAGCACATTGCAAACACTGATTAAATTTGCATGCTATGGATCCAGCTGAATTCTTAATATCTCTCTTCTAAAGATTTCTCTCCTCCTGAGACCTTTCCTTCTTCCTCCATCTTCCTTATCTTCAGGACCTCCACTTAACCCAGAAGGTGCACAGTCCCACCAGAGCAAATGCCCTGTTGGACCTGGTCCTGGCCACAGGCGATGATCTGGTAAGGGGGTTTCAGGTCCTGGACCACCTGGGTGACAGCGATCATCGCTTGCTGGAATTCATCATCCAGCACAGGGTGACAAGGGCCTGCAGCAAGGTGGTAGCCCTAGGCTTCAAGAGGACCAACTTCAATGAGTTGAGGAGATTGGTGGGAGAGGTGCTGGGGTTCTCGAGGGCAGGGGAACTCAGTGCCCAAGATGAGTGGTCGTTCCTTAAGGAGACAATACTCAGGGCCCAAGGGGTGACGATCCCAACAAGAGGCAAGGGGCACAAGAGTGCCCAAAAGCCTCCCTGGCTCACCAAGGACGTCCGGGAATGCCTGGTTGCCAAAAAGGCGGCGTACACCCAGTGGAAGGGGGAGGGCAATCTCCAAAGAGGAGTATACCTCCACTGCTCAGGCCTGTAGGGGGGCTGTTAGGAAAGCTAAGGCAGACATAGAGCTAGGACTACCGTCCAAGATCCAAGATAATAAAAAGTCCTTTTTCAAATATATAGGGAGGATGAAGAAGGCACCGGGAAATGTGGGGCCCCTGCAAGATGCACTGGGCAATCTGGTGGTTGCGCCAGAGGAGAAGGCAGACCTCTTTAACAAATTCTTCACCTCCATTTTCTTGTGCAGGGACCAGGACTCCCCAACCATGATTCAAGACGGACTCGAGGGGAACGCCTCAAGACCTAAAGTTGAGGAGGACCGGGTTAGAGTGCTTCTGGAGGGGCTGGACGTGTTCAAATCAGCAGGTCCAGATGCTCTCCACCCCAGGGTGTTGAGGGAGCTAGCAGGGGTTATTACAGGGCCCTTGGCACAGCTTTACAAGCGCTCGTGGTGCTCGGGCCAGGTGCCAGATGATTGGAA